CCTTTGCAAAGAGGAGGTGACCTTTGCAAAGAGGAGGTGACCTTTGCAAAGGGAGGTGACCTTTGCAAAGGGGAGGTGACCCTTGCAAAGAATAAGGAGGCAGCCAGGTGAAAACTGGGTATCACTTACATGTGGAATCTAAAAAATAATACAAATCAATTTATTTATAAAGTAGAAACAGATTCACAGACATAGAAAACAAACTATGGTTACCAAAGAGTGAGGAAGGAGGGTTAAACTAGGAGTGTGGGATTAACATATACACATTCCTGTATATAAAATAGATAAACAACAAGGACCTACTTACAGCATAGGAAACTGTATTCAATATCTTGTAATAACCTATAATGGAGAAGAATCTGAATATATATATACACACACACATATATATATATATCTGAATCACCTTGCTGTACACCAAAACTAACACAGTATCATAAATCAACTCTACTTCCTTTTTTTAAAAAAAAGAAAAAACTGAGGGAAGGGCATTGCGTGCAGACGATACAGCAAGTGCAGAAGCCCTGGGGATATTTTTACAATACCTGAAGAGATGTTCTTAACATTAGACTTTAAAAAGCGATCTGTTAAGAAGCCCAGAAACGATGTTATAGAAGAAGAGTGCTCAGACTTACTTCTCCAACAACTTACGTGCTCATCCCCAAGCGTGTTCCCCAGGTGTTGTCCTTGTTTGAGAACCACTCTCTCCTCCCCAGGCTCCACCTGCATGTGCTCAGCCTTTCTGCATCTTCGCCTTTGAGACCTGGACCAGCCGTCTACCTCCTGGCTCTCACCCCAGCCTCGAAGATTGGCAAAAAACCCTTGGTGTTTCTTTCTGCAGTTTTCCCTCCCAGACATTGGCAGATGGGGATGGGCTAACTGGACCAGGAGAGATTTTCCTCTGCCAGACTAGACACCATCTTCTCTAGTGTGCCAGCCATTTCTTGCTGCCTGTAGTGGCATCCCCTTGGGTTCTGCCCACCAGCATCCATTCTTCCCTCCTTTGGTAACAATGTCTGAATGACTGCACCCCATTGTATGTGGCTTTGGTGGGACCTTCAACCAAGAAACCCACTCCCCCCAGGGGGAATGTATGTGCTCTGGGCTCAGCAAATTAGATGAAAGTTGCGTTCATTTTCATTCTTTCAGTCAGTCTGTAGACACTGAGCTCCCACTATGTCCCAGGCTATCTACATCTTCATCAGAGAGACCAAAAGATGGAAAACAGTTGCTGCCCTCCTATCTCAAAAGTGGACCCTAGAGAGATGTCCCATTATTCTCTCAGAAGGGACCCTGTCCCTTTTAAGCCCACTATTTGGTTTTTCTTTAAATTTTGTGAGCTACTCCAAAAGCATCCACAAATTCCTCTCCCCACCCCCCCATTAAATTTGTGAGAGTCAGCTTCTGTTACTTACAAACAAAACTTCATGGTTGACACAGTGACTTACTGCCTAATTCCAGATTTGGTTTCATTCATGCTTTGTCTTTGTGCCTTATTCTCCATCTGCCCTTAAAGCAGTGCTTTCTCTTTTGAGTTCCCACCTTTAAATTCTAGGATCTCGCCAGCCAGGCATCCCAAGAAGCTCCAGCCTCTGCATCAGCATCACTGACCTCACCACTCACACCTTTCTCTGGACTCATTTATCACCAACTGGACTGGAAAAAGCCAGTTTTCCACCCGTGTCTTTCTCCTTTGCTATTCACAGAACACTTGACTACTTACTTCACTTCTGACACTTCTGGTCACCAAATGTGTGGATTTTTTTCCCTCCACACCAAGCAATTCTGTGGCACCAGGTGGTGTCCAGCAACTTAATTCTGATGCTATTTACCTGGAGATAGCTTCAGAGCCCAGAGGTCAAGGGCTTAGTCCCACTAGACTGCCCCACACTTCTG